TTAGCTCTGAAAAGCATTCTGGCTTCCCTCTTTCCTTACTCCTTAAAGCCTGTTTCATTTATACATCTATTTTCTCACAAGCATTAAAAGGATCAAACACAGAAGGGTCCCTTTAGCTTTTTTTTGTGCCATCTTAAGTATTTACTTTGTTGAGAGCCAAAAGGATATGTACCATAAAATCTCTTTTACCCTGAAATAATGGCACATTGCCCTGCACTTCCTATTTTATCTCTGTTTTCCAAGTCCAATTTATTATTTTCCAAAATAATTCAGTTTGGCTTTGTCCCTGATTCAGTAACATATTTTGGCCTGTAAGTAACCAGAAAGCCTACAAGTTTGGAATTTTCATAGTCTTGATATCAAAGAACTAAACTGAAACTTGGCCTTCTTGGGAGAAGGCAAGAAATTAAACAAACCTATCTCAGAAATGAAGTTACTCTGGGGAATCCTGTAGTTGACACAAAATAGCTACACGGGTGGTCAGTAATTTCCAGATGAAAGTCGATCAAATCCTAAATTCTCCTATTTGCTGAAGTCAGACAGTCTGAATTCTTGTCAGAGGAAGTAAAGTACAGAATACATTGATCTCAGATTTCCAAGTTAGGGGCAAAAATGTGAGAAGTGAACCAGAGTGCCCAGCTGGTCAGAGAATTAAGTGTATTGACCCACCGATGCCAACTCTTTTCTCAATCTCTAAATAAATTCTGCTACACCAGACACTTATTCTGCAGTTGCTGAATTCCAGCAAGAAGTCCTTGCAGCAAAGTGTAATTTTAACAGCTTTACCAGCTGGTATTAAAACATTTCCATTCTTAAACGAAAACAGCTTAAGCCATTCATTGACTTGGCATTCATGTCTACATAGTATTTTCATTTCAGAGGATGCTAAACCTTAAACTGACAAAGTCAAATATTTCATATCTGTAAAGAGAAATAGAAGGATCAAATAGAAGAGGATTTGAAGTTTATTTAAAAAAAAAGAATTTAGCAGAACTCTCCATACTGTACTGGTCATCTGCAGAATCAGCAGACAAAGCCTGCTGTACATCCTCAGTAAGTCTGTTGATCACTGATGAATCCTCAACATTGCTTTTCTGTATATAGTGTTGATTTTAGCAAAAGCAATGACGTAAAGTAACAAGAGAGTGACAGCTCTGCAGATCACTTTGGACACCCTTCCACCAAGTAACAGCAAGAAAGCATCAAGTTGCATCTCTAAACAAGCAAAGCAAAAGACTAACAAAAATGTTACCAAACATTATTTCTTCAGTCAGTCAAGTGTCATCCTGCAATGATAGGAAGCTGAAGAACGACAGCGACACTCACCAGTCCTGCGTGAGCCGTTGTCTTCATTTCCAAATGGAGGACCCTCTCCTGGCCTGGCTCTCCTGGAGTGAAGAACGTGGGAGCTCTGTTCTCGTTGGAGAGGAAGAAGCGATTGCCTTTCCCTCCAGCTCCTCCGTATGCTGCAACATATTCCTCACCATCCTGGGTCAGGTCAGCCATGACCTTCCCATCCTCCTTAACCAACGTGCCGACAGGGACCTGGAAGAGAAGAGAGAGGCACTCCCCTGAAGCTCAGACGCTGCAGCAGAGCTGTCTTCAGCAGATCCTTTACCAGCTGATTTCAGATTTGTTGAAAATCATTCCTCCATATTCTTAAGCTGGGGAATCCAGAGAGAAGTGCACCACATGAGGCTCATTTTCTGTACCCAAACAGCACTGTCAGACATTTACACTTGATTAAAACTTAAACAGTACTTTAACCCTTTTTCTCTTTTATGCAAAGAACTCTAAGCACAGCAGTGAGGTAAGAAACATATTGTAGGTGTGCACCAAAACAGGTACGCTGAAGAAAAAACAATTATGAAAGAAGAAAGTCTGCTCCTGTGTAAGAAGTTTTGTGTTGCAATTGCTCTAGGTAGATCAACCCTAGAAGGAAATCAGAACCCTGTTTGTTTTGGCCAGATGTACTTTCCAAAGAAGCCCAATTTTTATACACCATTTAAACCAGCTTGATCAGCCTGTGTGCCAGGCAGCCCTGTCTCAGCAGGGACAGCACACATGGCTCTCTGAAAAACCACACCAGGTCTTCTCATAACGAGGTCATCAGCCTGACAATGAGTGCCATTACCAGGAAGCTGACCCTCCAGTGTGCAGCCTCAGTGCACTGACCTTCACGTACACGCAGGCGCCGTTGGCTCCATAGCAGTTTTTACTTCCCCCTCTCTCTCCATGACAACCTTGGTAGAATGGGAGGACTGAAGAAAGGGATTTCACTTGCTGGTCAGCTGTGAAGCAAAATACACATATTTTAAACACTGTTCTAGTAGAAGAGGCACAGAAATGCAAACTCTCGACTGTTCTATCCCTTTTTAAAGGTTGCATGAATGCACATCCTGTCTCAACGAAAACATATCAGGGAAGACTAATTTTAATGTAAGTTATGATGAAGTTTACTCCTCTGCTTAGGTTTATTAACCATGCACTTTATTAACTTGTCGTTCCAAAACCAACCATTATGAAACACAAAAATTCATTTGCTAGATTAGCAGGGTGGTGGCAGAAGCAGCTTTATCCATCTCAGGAGTAAAATTTGATCAGATCCCAGCCTTTTCATAAGACAGGCACCAGCCACTGAAATGTCTGCAAAACACCTTGATTTTCCAAATGCTTTCTAATGCTTCAGTGTCATTTATGTCCCTGTTACGAGAACTCTGGACAAAGCTTAAAAAGCAAAGACATCCTGTACAGAAATAACCATCTTAACATTTCTGGCAATTACATTTACCAGCTTACCAGCTCCCACCAAACTGTGGTGCCAGGCTGTCTTTTTTTGAGGGGAAGGGGGTGTCCAGTGATACAATAATGTGAAAAAACAAAAACAAACCAGATTTAGTGAGGTTCACCTTTCAAAATGACGTGGCCGCCATCACCTCCATTTCCACCATCAGGACCTCCAAATATTTTTCGGGGTTCACTATAGAAAGAATGACCCCCTCCTCCTCCTTGTCCCCCAACCACACGCACTCTGCGGTGATCCACGAAATAGCGTGTCTGGAACCAGGACAGGTTTTGTACATGTTAAGCAGAGTTTATCAGAATTATCTTCCAAGAGGTTGATCTGCTAAACTTACTACTACACAGACCTGCAATTTTCAGTTATGATGAATTCCATTCAACAGCAAAAAAAACCCCAACCAAACAAACAAAAAAACCCAAAACAAAGAAAGAATTCAGAACTCTGCCACCGTTCACAGATCAACTAAATACAGCACACTAAGTATTATAATAAAGAAAAATAGATCTAATTTCTCAAGTCTTTTTAAGAGCCCCCTTAAAAATACACGCCTGAGGCTATGTTGATGTAACCTAATGCAGCAGCTCAGACACCAGAAGGGAACATTAATGGAACTAATAAAAGTATCTTTTAACATGGCTACATAATGCTGATATTAGCTCAAGATACCACACTACAAACCAAAACCACTCAGTAATTGTGTCCCTACTAATGAAAACAAGCAAACCAACAGATACATGAAGTTTTTACTTCTTTAAATTGAACTCAAATTTGCAAAAAAGACATACTGCAGGTGTGGGAGGAATATTCTTCCACTTTCTACACCAGGATTTCTCCTGCTTTCTATACCAGGGGATGAAACTAAGGCAAGCTTCAGTCTGTTCTAACAGTCAAGAAAACAGAAAGTACTTACACACTTAATAAACACAGAAAATCTTAATATATGCCACAACCAGATGCTCAGGGGCTAAAAAAAAATACAGTGTAGGCAGAACTCCTGATCTGGGCTCCGTTTCTGACATTAAGTTGATATATGATTTATAGTACAGCATAATTAGTTTGCTAGAATCAGCTCTTCTGTCAGCAAAAGATGCTTGGTGATATTTCCCTGTCTTCAGGAAATGGGCTGAAATCCCCAAGGGAAAATCCAAGAGAAGAACACTGAGTGGGCTAACATTCAAACTCTGTTGATTACTAAAGGATTTCACAATGAGAAGGAGCAATAAAGCTGACTTTAATTAAACAGCCCAAACACTACATGAGGGAGAAAAAGTCTTATTAGTGTTGATACCAAGACAAGCAACTGAAAACAAGCCCTTAACTCTTGATAATTCAAGTTATACTACGACCAGTGGTTTCTTAAAAACCCACTTTTTGAAAAGAATTTGGCACCACCACACGGCGAGACAGGAAATCATCACTTTAAATGGAAAGTGATTTATTGTTAATTAAAAAATAAAGTTTTCCATAGGTGCATAATAAGAAAAGGAATCTGAAGAAAAGGTTCCTGGACCCTGCAGTTTCTTTGACATAGAATTCTGTCTGTTTGGCAACTGACTGCTACACAAGGCTATAAAAAACAGTGAGAAACAAAACAGTATTTTAACTTTGAAGTTGGGCAAGACCTTTTTCCCCTCTCAGCCAAGGAGGGGCTATGGCCAAAGGCAACCTGACCACTACACTCCTTGGGACACTGGTCATTCACACAGCAGACTTATTCAGAAAGTTTATAAGATTTTATAACAATATTCAGGATCTTTAAGGCTGGAAAAGACCTCTAAGATCATCAAGTCTGACCACCAACCCAACACTATCATGACCACTAAACCATGTCCCCAGGTGCCACCTCCACATGTTACTTGAACCCCTCCAGGGCTAGGAACTCCACCACCTCCCTGGGCAGCCTGGGCCAACCTCTCACCACTCTGGCAGTAAAGAAATTCTTCCTAATATCCAACTGAAATCTCCCCTGGGGCAACTTCAGCCCATTTCCTCTTGTCCTATGCTGGTTACTTGGGAGAAGAGACCAACCCCAACCTCACTGCAGCCTCCTGTCAGGGAGCTGGAGATAGCAGTAAGGTCTCCCCTCAGCCTCCTCTTCTGCAGGCTGAACAGCCCTGTGTCCCTCAGACGCTCCTCACAAGCCACGTTCCCCAGACCCCTCCCCAGCCACGTTGCTCTTCTCTGGACCCGCCCCAGCCCCCCAAGCTCTTCCTCACCCTGGGGTGCCCAAACCTGCCCCCAGTGCTCAAGCTGTGGCCTCCCCAGTGCCCAGTCCACGGGCACAATCACCTCCCTCCTGCTGGCCACGCTGCTTCTGCTCCGACACACTATTTCTGATACAGGCGAGGATGCTGGTGGCCTTCTTGGCTGGTTGGCTTTTCCCCCAGCCTGGAGCACTGCCTGGGGTTGCTGTGACCCAAGTGCAGGACCTGGCACTTGACCTTGTTAAATCTCATACAACTGATCTCAGTCCATCGATCCAACCTGTCCCTATCCCCCCGCAGAGCCCACCCTCGAACAGACCAACACTCCCGCTCAATTTGGTGCCATCTGCAGATTTACTGAAGGTACCTCAATCCGCTCATCCAGATCACTGATAGAGACGTTAGACAAGACTGGCCCCAAAAGCCCTAAGCCCTGGGGAACACTAATATCCAAATTCCCACATCGGAACTCCCTCACATCAGGAGCATATAGCTGATCTCCTTGAGAAGGGCAAGGAGCAGCTCAGCGCTGTCTCCAGACGCTTGCCTGCCCGCCCCCCCCCCCCCCAGCCGATGCCCGTCAGGACCTACCAACTTCCTCTCCGAAAGGACTCGTTTTTGCCTCAGCCGCCTGTTCTTTGAGCACCGCGGGCACGTTGTGGAGAACGTCGGCGGCCGCGGGCTGAGCAGGAGGAGGAGGCGGGCCGTGCTGCTCTGGGG